CTGTTTGTTTGGATGTAATAATCATTCCTGGAGTCTGAACTGCTCTGATATTGATGGTTACTGTGTCTGGCACAATGACATAGAAACTCATCTCTCCTCCTCCTGTGACTCTCACAGAGTAGCAGTGTATGTGGACTGTCCTGCTGGCATTCTGTCCTTCTACAGAGTCTCCTCTGACTCACTGATCCTCCTCCACACCTTCAACACCACATTCACTGAACCTCTGATTCCTGGATTTGGGTTCTGGTGGTTCAGTTCTGGTTCTTCAGTGTTTCTGAGCTGAGTTGAGTCTAAAGAGTCTAAAGTTTTTCCTCCTGTCAGAGAAACTCTCTCACTGTTGAACAGATAGTTCAGTCTCTACAATCTATTTCTTGGTGAAACGATTCTGATTGAGTCCTTGGAAACTTTTTCTTCTTCCAGTCCTTTAAAGATGGAAACTGGGATTATTCCAGGATTATTCCAGGATTATTCCAGGATTATTCCAGGATCCACATGTTTTTCAGTTTGTTTTCTTGTCATAGCTTCACTCTATCAAGAGATGCTGGTATACTGGTGGTGAAGCAGCAGGCAGAAAACCCAGGATATAGTTAAATGATGGTTTTAATAGTAAAAATAGTCCAAGTGGAAACACAAAAACAGGCAGCATGGCTGAGCTGAAGCCAGGGCTCAACGCCTGTAGCAACTGTTCATCCTGGTGGACAGAAGAACAGGCTTGACAAAATGACATGAAGAACGATGAGGACCCGATGAGAACAAAGGACAACCGTGGGATTAAATACACAGATGGTAATCACAGAAACGAGAAACACCTGGGAACAATCAAGGGAAACAGGACAACGCAGAGACTGGAAGCATCACAGAAAAATAAGGACCGCTCATTTGAAGGCTGCCTACGTTCAATAACATGAAAAAACTGCATGTTTTATATGAATTCAATTAGTACTTAATACTCTTTACACAAAGTGAAAGTACAAATGTAATGTGTTTTTTCTAAATTCCTTCATTTTATGAAAGATGGTTAGCTCTCTTTATACAGGAGAAAACTATTTTTAAGAGAGTTGCCACTGATCAATTAATCGTTATTGATTCTAAGACCAATCATCTTTACATTAATTCAATCAATCTGTAAAAATGTTAAATAAATTAGTGGTTTTCACTGGCTATACCCAGTAATTATTCATTAAATATAACAAATTCTAAAAACACCAGTCTCTTAATGTTAAACCTTTAAAAATAAGTTTTGTTTCTAAAATGATCAAATTAATAAGTTACTTGTTGATTTTATAAGGATATTTTGTAAAATTGTAACAGTTTCAAATTTCACAATAAAATAATCTCATTAATCCTACATGATTAATTTTCCATTTTTATTCAACAATTAATCATTTCACCTCCAACCTAATTTCTAGTTTATTCCTTGACTATTTTTTTTATTATTCCCCAATAATTAAATCAATTTACTGACAAAGATCCATAAGTTAAAACCTGAATCTCTAACAGGGAACATTTAATGTCCATATCTGGTTTAAAGGCTCAAAATTAGCAGCCATGTTTAAAAATGTTGGTCATCCTGAAACCCAAGTGGCTGATGGGAAACCTGAGGGGTTAGCATGCTAATCTTTATCCCTGTATCTACACTTTAATTACTTTTTCAGTGAAATGCTGAATTTAAATACTTCATCATGTATATTTACATAAGTCTACTCTGAGTCTAGTCAAAGTTTTTATAATGAATCAGTGATTTATGATGTGTTCAGATCCAATCCAAGCTAAAATTATTTCATTGTTCATAACATAAATATCATGTTTTATTATAATTTGGCAAACCAAGAGATTCATGTGTTTTATTTACCGTCACAAAGCTTGACCTCATGACCTCGTGTGTTTTCTCCTGTAGAGGAAGTGCTGCTGCTTCTGTTTTAGCTCAAACCTGAAACAATCGACCTCCTGATGAACACAAAGTTCTGCAGAGTGTGTGTGAACACACACTGGGTGTGTGTGTGTGTTGACCGCTGCCTTCTTGCCTTGATCACATGCAAATCAGCTGTTATGAAATGTATTTCCTGCTCCATTTCAGAAACACTTTCCCACTCAGAAGTAATAAAATACACACATTTTGAAGCGATGTTCATTTATATTTGTCAAACTGGCAGATTAAGCAAAGATCAGAGTGTTTGGTTATTGATCTCTGTTAAAAAGGGAGAGGTTTCGGGTTTTCATAACTTTAGAGCAAAGATAAACTCTGAAGGATTTTCCAGGATGTGATTACATGATCCTTACAAAATCATTTTATTCTTAGACCAAAAATAAACAATTCCTCTTCATTTCAGGTGAATAACTGCAAGGTGAAAGTCCTGATGCACAAAGAGTGAGTCAAGATTCCAAGATTTTACTAATAAAACAGTTTTTTATCAAGCCAGATAATTTAGAGGATTTTCTTTCCAGGCTGAGAGAAGAAATGGATGAACATTCAGGTTGGAAACATCATCAAACTGGAGAGCAACCAGTTTGTTCCAGAACTTTCTGATCTCAGATCTGGAAACAAACTTTAACTGAGACGTTACTGAAGCTTGATGTTCAGTTGGTCCAAATCTAAAGCTGGTCTGCAGAGATGACTTCAGGGTTTGTTTGTTTCTGCTCACCTGGAGCACCAGCCGGTGGAGTCAGTCTGAGTTCCTTCATCATCTAAAGAGAACATTGAAGATCCTCCTGGAAAAAATGGAGCTTTGGAAAGAAATCAGCAGGAAGTGAAAGAAAAAAGGATCTTCATCACTTGTGAAGTGAACGACATCAGAGTTGGATTCAGTGGAGTCACATGAAGAACAGAAAACTGAGGCTAGAATAATAAACATCATGCTAAATATCAGCTGCAGCTAATCTGTCAGAAGAAGCTTCAGGTTGAATCTAAAGGAGGCTGAAGATCTCAAAGTGGATGAGAGGAAACCTGATGAGCTCTACAGTCCACTAGATCCAGATCAGAACCCTGGAGAACATCTACGCTGGAAGCAGAACCACAAGCTAGAAAATATCCAGGTTTCTCTCCAACCTGAACACAGGAAGTCCTTTCTTCTTCTGCTGCAGCTGAGAAGGTCCTGCTGCAGAACTGGATCCACACAGTTCCTCCACAGCAGAACAGAGGAGGTTCTGGAGGAGACCAGGGTCCACATCTGGACTCAGAGTTCTCCTGAGCTTCAGCAGAGCTGCTGGCTTTGGTTCTGCTCCGCCTCTGTTCTGGTGTCTGATCTCCAGAGGATCTGAACCGACCCATCAGAACTCAGTGGAGGTGGTGGAGGATGAGGACGGGGCGCGGCGAGGAGGTGGAGGAAGAGCGCCGTGATCCATCTCTCTGCTGTGGAGACCTGAGGGAATCTGACAGAGAAACAGCAGCCTTGAAATTACAACAACACTATTATTTAATAGTGTTGTTGTAACACTATTGCTGTTATTACAATATCAATGACGATAATGTTTCTCCAACATTGATGTTGAGGGTCAAGTGTTCAAATTAGTGATAGATTCCAGTTTTGACATCATATCAATTTGATTTGTTATTGATTGTTAGGAAATGCACCATGTTGAAATCATATAAAAGAAAATTAAGGCTGCCTGGGAAAATACGAATCACTCTGTTAAATTAACATTTTAATATGAAATTCAAAGTTTTTGTGCAGACAAATCTGCAGGTTTTCCTTTTTAAGAAGAATATTCTAAGACTTAATGCATCTCAAACTCCCTCCAAGCTCATATATCTTTCTAAAAAGTTACTTGTAAATCAGTTTTGTCTTATTTTAAGTGTCCAAATGTACTTGAACAATAAACTAGACCAAAATAAATGGTAATATTTTGTTTTTCTCTGATAGTATCCACGTTTTAACTCAATATAAAGTCAGTTCTTGTAATTGTGGCTGGAGAAAGACATTCTCTACCTTTTCTCTGCTTTTCTAGCTGAAGAACAGCGCGCTAGCATGGCAGGCAAGTCCACTGCATATGCAAACATGTAAAACATGACTGCATATATGTCTTAAAAATAACTTTAAAAAACCACTGCACAATTATCTGAATGAAGCAACAAGACAAACCTTTGTTGCCTCTTTACTGCAACTCCTAGTTTGAAGGAAGTGAGGAAGAGGAGGAAGTTAAAGAGGAAGGGGAGGAAATGGAGGCAGAGGTTTGTTGCAGTTGAAAGTGGTTTTTAACATCCTTCATTCTCCAAATCCAAAGTCATTTCCAAAGATTTTCCCCAACTGAAACTAAACATCCAACATGGTGGAGTTTTGTTGTCTGGTTTGATTCTCATCTGTGAGGATTTCCTCTTTAGATTAGCAGCATTTTCCCTTATTTTCCATAAAAGCGCCACTTTCACGTCACCTTCAACTGTATTTTTTCATTTTAACACTTTATTTTGTTCCTTTTTTAAATCATGTGCGATAGACTGAGAAGGATGAGGTGGGTTAAACATGTTATCTGGGATTAAATCACCTTAATATTCACCAAAAAGTCCAGAAATCATTTGGATTTATACAGCTCCTCCACCTCTTCAGGACAGTTTGACACTGTTTGTGTTTTTTTATATCTCTAAATTTTCTGACTCAAAGATGGACGAACCATTTGAGAAGGTAGGCACAAGCAGAACATCCTAAATTAGATTCTTAATATGCAATTTTCCACTTGATGAGTGTCAAAATGGGGCATTTCATCCAAAATGTCTTGTTTTACCTCCCAACTTTCTGCCGCATAGAGAGAAAATGCATGTGAGGATCATAAGGTGAGTTCATGCGTGTTACAGGAGGTGAACTGTAACATGCATGTTATTATGAGTAGAAATGCAAACTACACCAACAAGATGTTTAACGGACTCGTAATGCAACCGTAGACTCTCAGGTGTTTTGTAATAATTCAGCTTTAGAAGTAATTTAGCTTCCAGGTTCTGAGTCTCAGTAAAATCCCAAAACTTCCCAGTTTTATTTCCCTTTTTCTTTCTCTAAAACCTTTGTCAGCCTTTTGAACTTGAAGGTTTCTCTCCTCCAGATGGACACGGAGGCCAGCGACCTGCTCAACGACCTGCAGGTTCGGCTCAACAACGTTCTGGACGACCTCAGCAGCACGTTTGGGAACAGGTACGCCGCCCTCACACCCCCACGTTTCCCCCACTTTGTCCCAGTGCATCACTGGCTTTTCTTCTCCTGCAGCTTCCAGAGCCGCATCACCGACTGCATGCGGCAGATGGCGTCGCTGCTGTACCAGATCAAAGGACCGCTCAACGAAAACACAACCAGGTGGAGGGCGACTCGGACAACATGCTGCGGCCGCTCATGGACTTCCTGGATGCGCAGTGGGTTCAGTGGGATTTCCCCAAACACGGCTCGTCCGTCGGCGTGTGTGTGAACGTCTTGTTTTTGCAGATTAACGCTGTTCGCCACGGTGTGTGAGAAAACCGTCCTGAAGCGCGTTCTGAAGGAGCTGTGGAGGATCGTGATGACCAGCCTGGAGAAGAACATCGTCCTGCCGCAAGGGAACGACACCTTGGTGAGTCTGACGCTCGTCTCCGTCACTGGACAGGTTTCCATCCAGATGGTTTTGAAATGTTGTCAAAAAGTGTGAATTACATAACAAAAACACAATCTTACCAAATATTTTTGATCTAGTTGTCAGTGAAACTATCGTAGAAGCTTATTTTAAGTCAATAATTTCTTAATATTGCTGATCAAATTTGATTATTGCACCTAAATCAAAATATTTTTGCAATGTTATAAGGGACATAATAATCAGACTAAAATCTCTTTTATATCAATAATTTTGTGCAAAATAAATATAATGAACTTATTTTGTGTAGGACAGATTATTTCACTTATAACAAAACATTTTCCCTTAAATTAAATAATCTGCCAACTACTTTTTTTTAAATAAATATTAAGGAATTATCGACTTAAAACAAGCTTCTTCTTCTGATAAATTACTACTAAGTTATTTTTGTCTTATTTAAAATGTGCTGAGATATTTTAAAATTCAAATTCAAACATACTTTATTGATCCCAAAAGAAAAGTTAAATGTTGTAATTCACATTCGTCAAATTTGCACTAGAAACAAGAGCAAAAATACTTGGTAAGAGTTTATGGTTTTGCAGTGTAATTTACATTTTCTTTTATACATTATTATAAAAATTTGCTCAAAATTTGAATCACAGCTGGATGGAAACATGGCTGCCATTTTGAAATGGATCAACTCGTAATTGTGTCAGATGATGAGATGTAAACATTTTGACAGACGTGACCAAACACAAAAAATATTTTTATCCATTATGTTTTAAAATGATGACTGTGGCATATTCAGTTTAATTATTAGTCAACAAACTGAACATCATCCAATCACATATAGAGTAGATAAATAACTCACTTTATGTCTGAACATGAGTTGTATCGATGCTTTTTTTCCATTTCCATCAAACTTTACTAATATGATACTTAAAATTGAAACAAGGCTTCTGAAAACTAAAAGAATCATTCATTTTTCTGTTTTTCCTGAAGGGAGCACAGATCCTTTCTGCTGCTAAAGAACTGGGACACCTTTCCAAACTGAAGGTATCAGGTTGCCTTTGAGTTTGCTTTCTCCTATGAATTGGTCTAGTCAAAGTCTTGGTTTGGGTTGTTTAGGATCACATGGCAGGAGACGCTAAAAGCCTGACGCCCAGGCAGTGTGCCGTCATGGATGTGGCTCTGGATACCATCAAGGTGAGAGCGAAACGTTGACCTCTGGTCAAACAGAAAAGTACAATTCATTCACATTTTAAGAGTCTTTTAGTTGATTAACTAAAAGTCTGATTAACTCCACTTTAAGTTTAATCATTCAGGTTGTAGAACGCTGATTCCTCTCGTTTTGTTTCCTACGCAGCAATACTTTCATGCGGGCGGGAACGGCTTGAAGAAGACTTTCCTGGAGAAGAGCGCTGAGCTTTCGTCGCTCCGCCACGCTCTGTCGCTCTACACCCAGACCACCGACACGCTCATCAAAACCTTCGTGACCACGCAGCATTCACAGGTAGATCCAAAACGCCTCAAAGGAGATTAAATACGGGAGAGTTTCAGATTCCTCGCTGCTTTTATCTCCTGGATTTGGTTGTTTAAGTTGCTGTCTTGTTTTTATCTCCTGCTGCCTCTGTGCCAGTGCACAATGGGAAGGGTATTAGGTTAACCCCTAATGAGAAAATCCAGCCCAGCAGGGGTAGGTCTCCATGAAATCATCATCAGCCCAACTTCCCTTCATCGTTTTCTCTCTTCTGTTTTGTGAAACCTGCGTTTCCGTCGCATGACTCTATAAAACGTGGTTTTCTTTGCCTGCATTGGACCAAATGTTGTTTGTGTTAAACCAGGCTCAGGTGTGGACAAACCCATCGGAGAGGTTTCCCTGCAGATTGAGCTGTACACTCATCCCAAGAGCGGAGAGCGGAAAGTTACTCTCAAAGGTCCGTTTGGGCTCATTTTGAACCAATGAAATCAAAGCTGGAGCATTTTAGTGTCATTTCTGTTTAAATTTTGTGTCATTGATGCAGTGATTGCAGCCAGTGATTTGAAGTGGCAGACGTCTGGGATGTTCAGACCCTTCGTGGAAGTCACGATGATCGGGCCGCACCTCAGCGACAAGAAGCGCCGATTTCAGACCAAATCCAAGAACAACAGCTGGTCTCCCAAATACAACGAGACCTTTCACTTGTAAGTTCAAAACCAAACGTCGTGACACATTTAGGATTTGAAGCTCTTTAATTCTGACTTCATAAACTGTTGGTTACACAAAACAAAGTCCTTGTGAAATTACTGGACAATGTCAGCTAATGCGCTAGCAGCACAGCTAATTGTTCATTTAGTGTTTCTGCTAAACATTTAGTGAACTTCCTCAAATTTAACTTTTCCAAATAAAATCTGGATTTATTTTAAGAAATTAATTGTGTGGCAATAGTTTTAAAAGTTATTAAAAAAAAGCTAAAATTAGCTCTACTATTAGCACATTAGCAGCTAATGGAAGTGTCCCTTCTACTACAGATGTCAAACTTTATTCAACTGAAAGTGTAGAAAACAGCAAAAGTACATTAGTGCTTTAGAATTTAACTTGAAAACTGATTTAGGGGAATCAAAATGTTTGCACAACAAATTTGCTCTGCTATTAGCATATTAGCAGATTAGCAATAGTGTGATCTACCACTGCAGATGTGGACCTCAAATCAAAGTAAAATGCTTTGATTTAAAATGGAAAATTAGATCATCAAAAGCTAGGTGTACGAATGTTTTTAAAGTTTCAGAAAAAGCACAAAATCAGGAATTAGCTCTGCAATTAGCGCCCTAGCCCATGTGCTCCCCACTCCTGTGTTCTGCTCTCGCTCTGCAGCGTTCTGGGTGTTCAGGACGGGTTCGAGTGCTACGAGGTTCAAGCCTGCGTCAAGGACTACTGCTTCGGCCGCGCCGACCGGGTGGTGGGCCTGGCCGTGGTGCAGCTGAGGGACATCATGGAGAGGGGCAACTGCGCCTGCTGGTGCCCCCTGGGGCAGCGCATCTCCATGGACGACACGGGCCTGACCGCCATGCGGATCCTCTCCCAGCGCTCCAACGACGACGTCGCCAAGGAGTTCGTCCGGCTCAAGTCCGAGACCCGATCAGCAGAGGAGGGAAGATGAGGCTCTGCTTGATGCAGTGGCACTGCTTTGACCTCTGACCTGTCTTGGCTGCTGTGTAAAACCTCACCAGCTTCCAGTGTTCTTCAACTTCACATTTTTTAAGTCTCGTCCGCCTCTACTGAGGAGACAGAACCCATCCAGAACCTGTCAAAGGGCCGAATAAGAACCCACCCGCCCCGAGTGTTCTTGTGCAATAAATCCAACCCACCCCTCCCAAAGTGTGGCCAAGTGGTTCAAGCCTTACACTCTGCAAGCTGTGAATGTGTGTTCATGTAAAAGGAAAGAAATCCCTGTTTTTAATGAACACAAGTCAAATATTTCACTTCACTTAGCAAAGAAAAACTACAAATCACAATTTGTTTTCTAACAGTTTGAGCAGGAAAATGCCTTGTCATGCAGAAACGATGCTAATCCTCGTTTTCACATGAAAAATGTTTGAATTTAACTCATCGCTTCATTTCATCCTCTATTCGTAGTAATTTTTATTTCTCTCTGTTGTCTGCATGTCATGGCCATTTTATTTATATTTTTGTATATTTATTTCCCTTTTAAAGATTTGATCTGATTTCTGCTTCATTTTTTGACATTTTTGAGTTTTTTGGGGTTTTGTTACAAACTGAGTTGCACAGCAGGACTTGAGTTGGAATAATTACAAGTTTACATTTCTCTCCTTTTTTGTTTTTTATTCTGCTCTTCATACGAGTGGCCTTAATTATAAAAATTATGTTTATTTTTAATCTCTTTACCTTGTAATTGTTATAATTTGCATCTTGTTTCTCCAGACTGATGTCCTTAACATTTTGTATTTTTCATTTTAGTGATTTTATGTAAGCTATAATCTGTCATGCTGAGTATCAATCCCATGTTTTTTTATTTACCATTTCTTTGTATTTTCTGTAGACAGTGATTTATTTTAGCTCTTTTTGTTTCAGCTTTTTAATGGATGAAATTAAACTACAGATCCAGCCTCTTACCTTCCCTCAGTAATTCAATGTTTCTGTTGATGGGAGCAAATATTTCCTTGTGCCAAGTTAAGTTTTCACTTTAGGTTTTTTAATTATTGCACATTTTGTAACTTTTGACCATAAATCACTGCATTTATCTGGAGTTTTCATTGGACTGTCACGTCTCTTTAAATCTGTCTCACTGTGTATGATTTCCACTCAATATTTTGTATAAAGTATTTAAGACTTGTATGGAAATGTCTTTTATTTCTTATACTACAGACTAAAAACGTAATTTTCACAGTGAAATCAGTGTATTTATACTGGGCAAATTTATAATAGATCTTATTTCACTTTGTGAGGAAAAAGGTGCAAATTCAACTGGAAGTCTCTTCTAACCCCACCTGCATCATCCAACCGTTGCTTCCTGTTCATCACCATTGATTAATCAACGCTGGTCCAAGACGCGTCACGTCCAATAACTGTCCAAGTCCAAGCTGATAAATAGCACCGTCCATGGCGTCTTCTGCTGTCCAGCAGAGCTCAACCCTCCTCCACCCCTTCACCTCCACTCGCTCGGCTCTCCGGCTGCATCCTTTCTTCACCTCCATCACCAATGTCTGGTCTCGGGGGATGACGTTCCTTTCAGCATATGGAATGCTCATCCAAGCTCATCGCAAAGATTGATGATCGATGTCCTCAGCCGGGGCCCAAGCGCCAAAGACTTAAATTTTGTATGTCAATAAACTCTTCTAATGGTTTCCATTTTCTCCGTCTAAGTCTCTCCAGATTGAATTAATGTTCAGATGAAATCAACTCAGATTTTTCCATTGTGAACTAACCATAAAAGTTCATCTGAATATGTGTGAAGTGCACAATTCTAGTCCAAGTTCAGGGAGCAAAAACAATCTTTAATACATCTGCAGACAGAGGGAAAAATATACTCTGCATCAGGCGAAAATCTAAATCTGCTCTAACGAACTCAGAGTTACATAGTTGCTTTATTCACCTCTCAGCTAACAGAGGAGAAGATTAAGTTCCCAGACGACCCGCCTGGGAAACTTCAGCAGACGCATCTTGTTCAGTTAGTTTGTACACCCTCTGCAGCTGCACCGAAAAACATCTTGACTATGATACAATTACATTTATGTGATACGTAAAAGAACACTGTATGATGAAATAAAACATTTTCTCTTTAAAGCAAATCTACTTCACATATGTTGGAATGTCATTGTTTCAGAAATTAATTTCATATGTGCATCTTTTTTTTCCATCAGTTTTTCTTTCCACCCCACTTCTTATTAAAATGTAATACTGTCTTCTGGGAAAAGCCATCTTGTTCAAGAATGAATTTTTGTGGCAGATATTCACCATGATTGATTACTCCATAATGTGGCAATAGTTACCTTTTTATTGGTTTTGTGTAACCATGCAATTTATTTTCTTACAGAATAAAATTTGTTCAATTAGCAAACTGAAAAGTGAGTTTTAAACTTCTTTTAGTGTTGTAGTTCAGTCTCCATCCAGTAGAGCGTCCCACTGGTCATTCTGAGGAACCATTGATACGAGTTTGCAGTGGTATCTGAAGAGGAATGAGGTCAAAACCATAAATATGGTCCAGTTTTGGGGTCTCCATTTGTGGATTGTTTGGAAAATAGAGTTAATCAATTTACTGGATTGAACTGGAGATTGATAAAACAAAGAGTGGAGTTTTCTCATTTGCATTTTTGTGCCATAAAAGGATTGGAAATCAAACGTGCAAAAAGTTGACTGGAAAGTAAAAACCAGATTTAATAGAACACACTGTGTCAAATAAAGTGTTACTCCTTTCAAAACGTTCATTTCCAGGATTCCAACCACAGATGGATGTTGGAGGGAATGTGTTGAATGGTCGGTCATCACACACGTCTTCTGGTTCTGACCACAAATAAAGACTTTCTGGGAGGAAATGAAACAGGAGACTGAGGACATTCTGAGGACAGATCTCCCCATGGAGCCTCTTCTGTTTCTGCTGGACATAAACACCAAGGATTTACTCTCTAAACATCAATGTTACATATTGTTGCACCTTCTGCTGCTGGTAGCAAGAAAGACAATTAGACTAAACTGGAATAAACCCAGTTCACCAACTGTTGCTGAATGGAGGAAAAACTGAAACATGACAACATGATGGAGCGTCTGACTGAACAACTAGACATGAAAAGATAATTAAATATGTAGTTTGGAAAATAAATACTGAATTTGAAAATTAAATGTTTAGTTTGTAAAATAAATATTTATTTTGAAGCCAAATATTTAGCTAAAGTTTTATTTCCCAAAATTTTGTTTACAATCCAAGCAAATATTTAGATTGTGAATTAAATATTTAGTTTATAATGAACGTTTGGATGACATGATGAAAATATTTGTTTGAAAAATGCATTTTCTCAACTCTTTATTTATGACATGATGAATAAACTAAAATACTGTTAGTATTTTCTGTTACTATCAATCATCACTACAGTAATGATCAAAAGTAAGTACACCTTCATTTTATCATAATTTCTCTTCTTCCTCATGAAGATTTATCAACCTGTCTCTGATTTCACCTCAGAGCTTCTACTTCCTGGTTCTGTTGCTCTGAAGGAAAAAACAACAAATCAGGTGAGCTGTGACGTCATCAGTTATACAACATCCTTCACATTTACTTTCAGTTTGGATTCACCTGTTCAGGTGTGGCTCCAGTCTGTTTCTTGGGTCTCAGTTTGTTGTTTAAATTTTCTTTTTAAACTTTTTGGATATTTTGAACAAACTGTAAGTTTGATTTGTTTATTTATTGAATTTTTTTTATCAGTTTAACTTTTTCCTGATTGTTTCTAATCTCTGATGTTTGGAGAAAAGTTTTATTTCTGATTTCAGCTGAAACTTTAATATCTGCTGTTTGAAGGCTAATCTACAGGATTATTAGATTATTGATGAACTGGAATCAATCAACATGATAAACAGCTGATGTTTCACTGTTTTCTTCTCTGAACTGATTCATGTTTTTATTTCCTAGTACTGAACTCTAGTCTCCACCATTAATGTCAGCAACAGTTTCCTGTTGCTTCCTTTCAAAATAAAATATTATTATTGATTCAGTCAAATTATTAAATAGTTAACATTTAATGCAGCAAATAATCCACTGGTAGAGATTAATCATTAACTAAAATCCTTCCTGTTGTTCAGGTTGAATCAGTGAATGTAAATGTTGCTCCATGTCTCCATCTAGTGGACTGATAGTAGAAGTGCAGCAGCTGATGGCAGCTTCCTCTGCCTCTCTGCTGTCTGACTGCATTCACCTGACACTGATATGAAGCAGAGAAGAAGAGCCAATCAGAGGAGGAGCAGCTGATCTTTTTCCAGCACTAATGATGTAAAGGATGATCAGAGTTGATGTGCAGATGAATGATGTGTGTTTCCTCTGCAGGTGAAGCTAGAAAGTGTGTGTGAGCTGATGTGGATTCAGCAGCATGGATCAGTGTGAGGACAGAGAGGAGGGAGTCCCTCCCTCTAAAACCACTCTGTGTGGGGAAGATGAGAGCCAGAGCAAAGGTCAGAGGTGAGGTCACCATCTCTAACTGTCCACAGCCCTTTTCACACAGTGTTCACTATATCAGGCCAGAACAGACATGGTGATGAAGCTGCTGCTGCTCCTCTTTGCTGATTAAGTTTTAATCATCATGTTTCTGTCAGGATCCATCAGAGACTCAAACCAGAACCAGAACCAGAACCAGAACCCAGCTGTGTGTCCTTTAAGAGTGACTGGTCAAAGAGTTTTGAGTTAACTTTAAATCTCCTGGATCTCCATCATCAGAGAGGTGAGATGTGTTTCTAACTGTTGTAACTTCTGTTTATATCTGTTATTGTGACATAAGTTGATACCAAGTTCTTTTGGGTTCTGTTATTATGGTAATTATTTCAGGTTATTTTCTTTTCATATGTATTACATTATGTTAACATGTTTCAATAAGTTATGTGTTTCTTATTGGAAGATGTTAACAGTGGGACTTCATTGTGTCCAATGAAGTTCACCTGCATCAGACTTGATGAATCTGAAAGACCTTGATTAAACAAAATATTTAATGAAATGACGTAAAAGTACAAAACAGGTGCATTTAGATCAACA